AAAATCGTACAATTGCGTACAAAGGGGAGAGGGGGTGTTAAATATTCTGGAAATTTTGCGTACGTACTACCCCCCTATGCATAGTTTCAGCTTATTCTGTAACATAATGTCGAGAGTAAAGAAGTCAAAAATGTGGCTGAATCGAACTGAATCGCAGCTGCTTCAAAGACAGGTCACACATTGCTAAAATTTATAGTCCATTCGGTTCACAACTTCACATTTACAGATCACCGATACAATCACTCCACAATTACAAAAATACAACATTACTAAGACAAATCACTATAGATAAATTAAAATTAAAATTAGTATTATTATTTTGAAATTGTCAAAAAACAATTATCTGGCTAAATAAATGTTATTTTCTTTTATATCTTATAATCTTATTTTTCACGTCGAATTTTGGGAAATGAACCCAATCTCCGTAATAATGGAATTTTAATTCTTTACAATGCCAACTCGTGAATAATGTTCTTGCTATATTTAATATACCCCCAAAGTTCGCTTGCCCAGTTGTTATATTTCGAGTTTCGTATCGCTTCCTCAAATACATTTAGGGTTTTTATTAATTTATTCACATGGATACTTAGTGATTTCCAAACCTCAAGATCCCCACGTATTATTTATTTTTCTGATTGTTCAGCGAACGAGTTCATTTCCAAAATTAGACCAAGTTGAACACTCGACGTCCAAAATATAGTGCTCCCTTACGCATCTATCTTGTAGCTATTATCTGTACATATTATCTCTATATTCCTTTAATGTCTCGGTATCTGAGGATTGCTTCGACCAAGGTTCATGACGCAGTCAAACGACATGTCTTCTTCAAGAGTCAGGTTTTCGGACTTCCCATGGTCCTGTTTTAACAAAATTGACTGAATTAAAATATTTATTTCATGATATAATTTCGTGATACAATTACGGGAATCACTGAGTAAGATACGAATTGCTCTTTCAAAGACTCAATTTTTCCAAGGAGGGGAACATATCCCGGACAATTTCCCGGCTCAGATTTGACTTTCATTACCGCCACCTCTCTCTCTTGCTTTGTGATTGGTTAATCGTATAGGTTAAGGAAACGGTTAGTTCGCTGACCTCAGAATGACATTTCGTCAAAACTTTTTTTTTCAAAGATTGGTTTAGAAACAAACTTGGAGTAGGGTTAGGTTAGGGTTAGGATTATGGTTAGTGTTTGGAATAGGGTTAGTGTTAGTAAAACCGTTGCTTTGTTACGTTTTCTCACTCTGAGGCCAGAGAAATAACCTCTTCTGTAGATTAAACGCATCTGATTGGATAATGGGCCCTTAACAGTAGCGGAAGTCAAATCCGAACCTCCCTATTTTTACTGGGAGGAATTCTAAGTAGTCGTAGACGAGGTAAGTAAGGACACCAATAGCCTAACTAGACTGCGAGCAGTCCCTCCTTAGAAGGAAAGGAGGGACTGCAGACAACCCATCAAGAAACGAAATACGCGTTGTCCACACAACGCAAAATTCTGATTGGTTGACATAGTTGACATCAAGAAACGAAATACGCATTGTTCACACAACGCAAAACTCTGATTGGTTGACATAGTTGATTGACAGATCTTTTTTGAAAAAAGTTCATTAACGTCAGCCTTCAAATTCATACTGTCTGAAAGCGTTTAGTATGTTATTTCGAGCGAATACAATTTAATGTAATACTATGTATTTTTGCTTGTAAACGTAAACGTTGTCGCTCCACTGCACATACACTTTATAACAATACGATACGCGCTATAAATAGTTACTTGTTTACAACGCCAAAATAATTATACTGGAGCTAAGGGGCGTTGCGAAAAGTGTATTTCGTTTCTTCATGTGTTGTCTGCAGTCGCTCCTTTCCTTCTAAGGAGGGACTGCTCGCAGTCTATAGCCTAACAGGTTTGTACAGACATTCTCAAATGTTACTCTACTGTGATTGGTTGATTTCAGTGCAGTTAATCCCAAAACTAACAGTATTATTTTTCATCTATTCAAATAATTTGTTGAAAAGAGGTGTTTGCCATGTCGCCTTCGCAGACGTTCATCACAGTACATGAGGATGAGGCTAGTGAATTGTCTCCCTTCATCCGCCCTCAGCCACTGTTTGCAAAGAAACGATGAGCAATCATGATCATACTGTACCTGCATTCCCAGGAGACGATCCTGACCGTCTCCTACTTTTCTTCAACGCTGCTGCTAGCTCGGCTTCCTTCCCTGTTGGTTTTAAAGGTGATCTATGGTTGACCTCGGGACTCTGACGGGAATGATCTTCGTTGGACATGAAGTTTAATCGATCAAGACTTGCTGTTCGAGGACTGAGGTCACAACCACGACCCTCGCCATTTATCGGCGAGGAATTCGTGGGAACACCGACAGGAAGATGTTCGCCATTACTAAACGAAAATAACAATAGTCTTACAAAAGGAAATATTTTCATGGAATATTTAGATAGCTTAAGATCTACGACGTCAGCTAGGGGATGACCAGAGGACTGGGACGTCCTCCTAAATAAATATACATCATTTA